AAGAAGAACTGATGCCTTTGAATTATGGTGTTGGTGAAGTATATTGAATATATCATGGACTGCCAAAAGAACGAACAAATCTGTCTTGGAAGAAGTACAACCAGTATGTTCCTAGAAGCGAGGATGGCGATACTATGTCTCACATACTTCGAACATGTTATTTATTAGAAGGGATCAGTCCCTGGAGAAGGACATCATGCTTGGTAAAGTAGAGGGTCAGCGAAAAAGAGGAAGATCCTCAATGAGATGGATTGACACAGTGGCTACAAAAATGGGCTCAAGCATAACAATGATTGTGAGGATGGCGCAGGACCAGGCAATGTTTCATTCTGTTGTACACAAGGTCACTATGTGTCGGAACTGACTTGACAGCACCTAACAACAACAAATCTCTGCCTATCACTCCAACTTCAGCATGTATCATACTGGATACACTACAGCAACATCAACTAGTCTTCCTTCTGTTCTGATGATATGATCAGTTCTTTATTGTCCCCTCTGTCTGGAATACTCTTCTTTTAATTTTTCACATGACTAGCTCCATTCCTTTGCACCCTTTCTCATTTTGAATGTCATTTGTCCCTTAAGAGTTTTCCCAGATCACCTATCTAAAAATTTAGCTGTTAAATCTAAGTATTGTTTAAAAATGTTAAGAAAAAGCATTCTTAGCCAAGATGGAATAATAGGGAAGAGATTTATCCTGCAGCCTGAAATAATTTAAAAAAAAAAAAAAAACAGCTAACAACAAATATACAAAACAATGTTTTGACACATTGGACATCAGGGAATTTTGGTAATCCCTGGGGGCGGGGGGGAGAAACAAACAAGGTGAGCCCCAGCAAAAGTTTCCAGAATATAGCATCAAGAGAGATGAACTACGTGGAGCCCAGTGGTCTCCCTGAATTGAGGAGATGGAGTTCAGTGTGCAGGTAAGCAGTGTGCCTAGAGTTTGTAGGGTGGAGTAACATAAAAGAGAGAGTAGCACAAAAAAGGAGCCCCAGAAATCTGTTTAGGATCTCTCTTGAAGCTTCAGCTGAATACTGATGAGTGCATGTGTGGGAGGGAACAGCATGGCGCCAGGGAAGGAGCAACCTGAAAGTATTAAAAGGACCAATCTCTGGAACCCACACCAGGCTGGGAATTGTTTGTGTTCCCATCAGCCAAAGTGGAAAAACCTCCAAATTCATAGGCTATTGGGTAGAGTACTCAGAAAGTTGTTATGTCAATAGTAAAATTAGTCCTAAAGGTTGCTCTGATCTTAAATAACAAAGCATAAATGCAAGCCTCAAAAGGAGCAAAAAGCAAGCCTCGACCTGTTTCCAAGTAATGTTACTGTCTCAGAATAAAGTGCGAGAATATTTATAAGAATGCAAAAACATCCAGCATCCAATAGGGTATTCACAATAACTAGCGTTTAGTCAGCTATTACCAGGCATGGAAAGAAGTAAGGCAATAAAACCCATAATAAGGAAAAAAATCAATCAGTAGAAACAGACCCAGAAGTGACACAGATGATAGGTAGTAGACAAGGACATTTAAGTTAACACACGTTCCTTATGTTAAAGGTAGAGGAAAAACAGAGCAGGTTAAGTAGCAATATGGAAGATAGAAAAAAGACTCAAACTTCAAGATGAAAACTAAATTATCTGAGATGAAAATTACCGTGAATAAGATTCTTAGTAGATTAGACATTGCAGAAGATAGTGAACGTGAGGCTGTAACAATAGAAAGTATGCAAAATGAAAAAGACTGAAAACAAATGAAGAGAGCATCTATTAACGGTGGGGAACTTCAAGCAGCCTAAAGGGGTAGTGAGGAAGCTTTTGCAGGTGATGGATATGTTCATTATTTCGGAGGTGATGGTTTCAGAGGAGTACACAAAACTCATCAAATTATGCACTTTAAATATATGAAGTTTATTGTACAATAATTATGTCTCAACATTGGTATTAATAAATGCAATCTGGAGCAAAAATTCCAGATGATGTCAACACAGGAAATGGGAGTGGAATGGAGGAGGAGTGGGATAGGATATGAGTAAGGAAAACAATAATTTTCTAAGCTTCTTGTTTGAGAAGAGAGGGTATGGATACTTCTTAATTATAGAAGTTGTTAGAAATATGTAAGTTTTAAAACAAGTATCTTAAAATTTTATGGGTAACCAGTGAATGAAGAAAAACAGAATGTATAACTTTGCAACCAGTGGACGAGAAAGTAGAAACCAAAATACTGATCAACTAAAACAGAAAAGGGGAAAATAGAAACCAACAAACATAGTATATGGAAATTGAAAAGAATTGAACTCAACTCTATTCAAGAAATTAGAAAAAAAAAACCCACAAACTAGCCTGAAGTAGTAGAAAAAAGGAATTAATAAACATAAAGCAGAAATGAGTGAAAAAATACAGAAACTTATAAAGTTGTCAAACCTTTTTTTTTTTTAAAAAGATTAAATAGACAATGACAAGTTTGAAGGAGAGAAAGAATGGAAGGCATAAACATTAGGAATGAAAAAGGAGGAAAATATTAGAATTATATTTTAAAATTACAAGTAAATATATATATTTTATAATTTTTTTATTTTTTAAATTAACTTTATTGAGGCATGATTTACACACAATAAAATGCACACATTTTAGGTGTATAGCTTGATGATTTTTTAATATATACCCCCGTACCCATCACCACCACCACAATCAAGGTATAGAAATTTCTGACACCCAGAAGTTTCCTTCTGTCTAGTTCTTAGTCAACCCCTCCTCCACATCCTGGGCCCAGGTAACTACTGATCTGATTTATGTAACTATAGTTCTGCCTTTCTGAAGTTTCATATAAATTGACTCATATAGTATATACCCTTTTATGAATGCCTCCTTGCACTCAGCAAAATTATTTTGAAATGCATTTATATTGATGTGTGTTTCAATTGGTGAACATTTGCACTATCTAGTTTTGGGCTCTTATGAATAGAGCTGCTATGAACAGTCATGTACAAGACTTTATATGGATATATATTTTCATTTATCTTAAATGAGTGGAATTGCTGGGTCCTGTGGTAAATAGTGGTTAAGGGCTACAGCTGCTGACCAAAAGTCCACCAGGCACTCCTTGGAAACTCTATGGGGCAGTTCTACTCTGTCCTATAGGGTTGCTATGAGTTGGAATTGACTCAATGGTGATGGATTTGGGGTTTTTTTGGTAGGATAAGTATATGTTTAATTTTATAATAATCTGTCAAGTAGTTGTCCTACTAGTAAGGTAAGAGAGTTCCAGTTGCTCCATATCCTCACCAACATTTTATACCAGTATATTTGAAAACCTAAATGATATAATTTTCTAGGAAATTCAAAATTACTCAAATTGGCTTAAGAAAAACTAGGAAACCTGAAAATGATAATTGTTGCTGTTAGGTGCCATTGAGTTGGTTCCAACTCATAGCGACTCTACGTACAACAGTACAGAATAAAACACTGCCTGCCATCCTCACGGTCATTGCTATGTTTGAGCTCATTGTTGCAGTCACTGTGTCAATCCATCTCGCTGAGGGCCATCTTCTTTTTCACTGACCTTCAGCTTTACCAAGCATGATGTCCTTCTCCAGGGACTGGTCCCTCCTGATAACATATCCAAAGTTAAGTGAGATGAAGTCTCACTATCCTCACTTCCAAGGAGCACTCTGGCTGTACTTTTTCCAAAACAGATCTGTTTGTTCTTCTGGTAGTCCACGGTATATTCAATATTCTTCACCAACACCATAATTCAAAGGTGTCAGTTTTTCTTCAGTTTTCCTTATTCATTGTCCAGCTTTCACATGCATAGGACACGATTGGAAAATACCATGGTTAATAACTATACAGCATATTGAAATGATAATCTAAGGTCTACACCACCCCCCCCCCAAGATATACCAGGATCAAATGGTTTTATTAGTAAATTCTACCAAACTGTCAAAGAAAAGATATTTCCTGTTTATTATTTAATCTGAGCAGAGAAAACGATGACAGTTCATTTTATGGACTATTGCAACCGTGATACCAACATTTGGTGAGGCTAGCAGAAAAATATAATTCAATTCTCACTATAACCAAAGAAGCAAAAATCCCAAACTGAATGTTTTTTGAAATAAGCAATGTACCATCATCGAGAAGGGTTTATACTAGGAATCATAGGCTGCTTCAACATTAGAAAAACTCTATCAATACTATTTATTAACAAATTAAAAGATAAAACTATATGATCTCAAAAGATGCAGGAAAAGCATTTAGTAAGTTTCCAACTCCCATTCATGATTTTAAAACGTATACATGCAACGTGTATACACATGCTTAGTTAACTAAGCAGACAAGGGAATTTCCACTGAGAAACTCGTATCTAAGTAGAAAATCCAAAAGAATACTATTTGAACCAGTGGCAGTCCAACAGGATGACTAAATACACAAGAACAACACTAAAATCAATACCTTCTCTACACACCAGCAGTAACCAATTAGGAAATGTAACAGAAAAAAAAAAAAATCACAAATGCACCGAAAATACTGCTACTCAGAAATAAACAAGAAACAAGGCAGACTTTCATAAGGAAATCTGTAAAACTTTATTCAAGGGCATTATTTTATATCACAGTCTCTTACTGTACGTGTTTCCTTCCTAACAATTATAAAAACCTAGACTGAAACCCAACGACAATCCTGTTTATTGATTCACTTGTTTTTGTAATTTGTTTTACGGCCATTCGATTGTAAACTTTCTGAGGGTGAAGACCTTGTTTGTCGTGTTCCTCACTCTATTCCCCACCCAATCAATACCTTTCACAGTACTTGGCACAAAGTTGGCCCTTACGAGAACACTCGAGAGGCGAAAGCACCCACTAGTCTCCTTTTCCTGTACCTACTTTGACCCATATTACGCAATAATGTACAGAAATGGCTCCAAGCCTTCCACGTGACACCACCCCCAGGTCTCATCACAGCCAATCAGAATGCTTCTCACCCGTGACCCCCACAGCCCCTCCTGCACCCGACTCCATTACCCCACGAGGCAGAATCTTCCGGCCTCAGACTGTTTTTCTCCGAGTCTCGCCAATGCGGCTGCGCGCCGCGCCCTGATTGGCCGAGAGCTTCCGGCTTGCGCATGCGCCGCGCCTGCCTCGGTTACTAAGGGCGGGAGCCCTGCGAGGGCGCTGGGGGTTGTGCTGTGTGAGGCCCGCTTCGAAGCCTTGCCGAGCTCGCCATGCCGAACCGGAAGGCCAGCCGTAATGCCTACTATTTCTTCGTGCAGGAAAAGATACCTGAACTACGGCGGCGTGGACTGCCCGTGGCTCGAGTAGCTGATGCCATCCCTTACTGCTCTGCTGACTGGGCAGTAAGGCCGGAGGGGGTGAACGGGCGGGCAGGGTAGTTTGGGGCAAGCGGAAGGGCGCTTGCGGGGCTAGGCGGGAGGAAGGGAGGCCTGGAGAAGGAAAGTGGCTGCTTGCTCTCTGCTAGAGGGAGAAAAAACAAACCCGTTGCCGTTGAGTCGATTCCGATTCATAGTGACCCAGTAGGATAGAGTAGACTGTCCCATAGGGTTTATAAGGCTGTAATTTTTAGGGGAGCTGACCACCACATCTCTCTCCCATGCTGAGGGGAGAAGCCGGAAACCAAACCCATTGCCATCGAGTCGATTCCGACTCATAGCGACCCTATAGGACAGAGTAGAACTTCCTAGAGGGTTTCCGAGGAGCGCCTGGTGATTCAAACTGCCGGCCTTTTGGTTAACAGCCGAGATCTTAACCACTGTGCCACCAGGGCTCCAGGGGAGAAAGAACCCCTTATTCCCGGCCGAGGGCAAACCGACGCCAGAACGGCCTCCTTTCCTGCTCAGGCGTTGACCAACTTGGCCGGGGATATTGGGTTCTCACTACTTTTTCTCTTCTTTGTCTCCCCTCTTCAATCTCCCCTAGCTCCTGAGGGAAGAAGAAAAGGAGAAATACGCAGAAATGGCTCGAGAGTGGAAGGCCGCCCAGGGAAAGGATTTTGGGCCTTCAGAGAAGCAGGTAAATTAGCTAGTGAACAGCAGACACCTATTTGGCACAAAAGCGTGCTTAATAAATAGTGGAGTCTTAATGTTGAGTGTGGAATATTGGTTGATTTCAGTTAGCACAAAGAATAATTTTTTTGTTTTGTTGGTGTCAGAATGCCTGTTGATAAATGAACAGGGTCCGTAAGGAGAGTAACATTGGTATTTCATTTGGTGTTGAAAAGGCTAGGGGAGTCCTTATTAGGAAACCTGAAGCCAGTAAACGATGATCAGCAATGGAAGTGTTTGGTATTTAGAGGTTGTACTAGATGACCTCTAAGGGTCCATTTCAACTCCTCTGTGATTAAAGACCTTTTTTCAGATGCTTAAAAGCAGTTTGGGCCATTCCATCTTTATAAGTGATACCTGGAGCCAAGTCAGCTGCTGTGCTAAAATACTGAAATTAACAACACTTGGAGATGATAAAATAATTGAGTAACGTTTATTTAGGTAAATTTCTGTATAGTCGAATGTTAAAGTAGTAAATAAAATTTGTTTTCATGTTGATTTGTATCAGGAAAATGCAGGTTAGTTGTGGAGTTTTTTTTGTTTTTTCTTTTCCTCTGTTTTGTCCATTCTTAATAGTAAAATTTTATTGTTAAACAGTCAACGTTGGATTGAAATTCAAGGGACAGTTTATGTTTGAAAGATTTTTATTTTGTGAATTCGTTTGAGTAGAAACTCTAGTCAGTTGAATTTGTACTTTGTTATGATACTTGCAAGACTTGATTTTTCTTCGTATTCCAATTTCTTATGAGACATTTCCCTCAGAAGTTAAGATACGTTGTGTATATATATTTCATGTGAGATCTGGAGTCAGCATGATCTGGTTTTTACTTTAAGTGAAAAACAGTATGAGAGCAAGTTAGGTTCTTTTGGTCAGTGGCCTGGTGCATAGTTGTTGTTGGGTGCCATTGAGTCAGTTCCAACTCATAGCGACCCTGTATACAATGGAATGAAACACTGCCCTGTCCTGCGCCATCCTCACAATCATTGCTATGTTTGAGTCCATTGTTGCAGACACTGTGTCAGTCCGTCTTGTTGAGGATCTTCCTCTCTTTCACTGACCCTCTACTTTACCGAGCATGATGTCACTCTCCAGGGTCTGATCCCTCCTGATGACATGCCCAAAGTATGTGAGACGCAGTCTCGCCATCGTTGCTTCTAAGGAGCATTCTGGCTGTACTTCTTCCAAGACAGATTTGTTCGTTCTTTTGGCAGTCCATGGTATATTCACTATTCTTCACCAACACTGTAATTCAAAGACGTCAGTTTTTCTTATTTTCCTTATTCATTGTCTCGCTTTCGCATGCATATGAGGCGATTGAAAACACCATGGCGTGGATCAGGCACACCTTAGTCTTCAAGGTGACATCTTTGCTTTTTAACACTTTAAAGAGGTTTTTTGCAGCAGATTTGCTCAATGCAGTGTGTTGTTTGAGTTCTTGAGTACACGTGGTAGGTGGCTCAGTAAGATTAGCTAGGTATCAGTAGTGGGCTGGCCAGTGGCATTCAGTGCCAGTTGAAATAGTTTCTACTCACCTACCAGTTTAGAATATTTATGGATTTTGCTATTTTCTGTCTTTAGGTGTTGGTGTTATTGACATACATATTTAGTCATTGGGTTCTTTTGCTTGGAGAGGTTACTGAAGTAAACTCTGGGCTGTTTTGCAATTCTTTGCTAAATTTAAATATATAATGTGCATAGCAGGAGTTCATGTGGCCCATCTTCTCTCCTTTAGAAACCTATTTCCACACCACTGAGGAGGCCAGGCATGCTCGTACCAAAGCAGAGTGTTTCACCCCCAGACGTCTCAAGCTTGTCTCTCAAAAATGATCAAGGTAGAGTAATCCTAAAATATTTTACCTAGATAGATTTGAATGCTCAAAATACTGTGATATGTTAGTGAGTAAAAATGTTCCTGTTCTTGCGTTTGAAGGTAATATACTACAAGTGATTAGGTGTGATGGTGCTGATGTTATAAAGAATTGTAATTTGTCTTTGTTAAGGTAATACTAGAGTTTTGTTCAGAAATCTGATCTCTTGTTTTCTACTACTTCACATTACTAAACATAGGTACTTTCTAGATTTAAATATCTGTAGCGAGACACTTAGATACATTTATGTTGTAAAGGTAAAGATAAATTACTAAGGTAGCCTAGAAGAGGACATAGCTGATAAGGACCTTGACTGTTTCTTCTGGTTGTTTTTACTAATTGTGTCCTGACTTTGATTGTTGAAGATTAATAAACTTTTAATAGTGTTAAGTGTGGCCAATCCATTTCTCACATTCCTTTCTTCCTATAGAGAATTTGTAGGTGATTTCAGGTGTTTAGTAGTAAAAATGAAGGAAGGAGTGAACTGATTTGTCAATAGTTTGTCCCAGTTTTCCATACTGATTCTATTTGGTTTTATTTCCCAGGCCCTTATATTTGTGAAATATAGGTCACAGTTTTTGTTACGTCGTTTCTGAGATTCAGGGTTTATGTATAGCTGGATTATGTAGAGCTGTCTCCAAGTTTGAATAATTTTGTTGCTTCATGCAAAGAATGGTTACTACTTTAACCCTTTATAAGTATAATTTTAAGAATTTCAATTCATTTGTCTGCTACAGCTGATTAGTTTTCTCTTTTCCAGCTCATTTAGAAATACAGCAACATATGTTTGAAAATAATTCTAAAACGTTTCTCCCCCCTTGAATTAAAGAGGCTTTTGTGGAAGGGGTAAATTTGAGATGCTCATCTGTTGGTTTTGTCTAATTTTTTTTTTTTAGCTCTCCTTGGAGACATTTTTTATTTTTTGAACATTTTCAGCCATGGCGAGCTACCTCCCCATTGTGAACAGCGCTTCCTCCCTTGTGAAATTGGCTGTGTTAAATATTCTCTCCAAGAAGGTATTTTGGCAGATTTCCACAGTTTTATAAATCCTGGTAAGTAGCTAGGTAGAGTGGGTAGATGAGAGAATGCTAGATCTTAAAAGTATATGTGCATGTGTGGTTTTTGTTTTTTTTTTTTAATCCTGACTTCTTTTGATATTTGTTTTCTTTTAACAGCTGATACACAGCTGATTTTTTAAAATGTAAAAAGGCTTCATAACAATTTGTTGAAAAACTGTTAGGAATGAGATGCTGACACAGGGTTTTGGGTTTCTACTCTTAACCTCAAAGATGCATTAGAGTTGAGTGGCTAGAATACCTGAACAGTGTATAGCTTACTGTTCACTTACCTGGGGCCTACATCTTGGGATTTTGTAAAATATTTTTATGCCATCCTTCTCTTCTTCCTCTACCCCATCCTTCACCTCAGTGGTCACTAGTTTTTAAACTGGCTGTTGCTCTGCAGGAGCCCAGTGGCACAGCGGTTAAGAGCTTGGCTGCGTACCACACCAGCGCTCCTTGGAAATCGCATGGGGGCAGTTCTGCTCTGTCCTGTAGGGTCGCTATGAGTTAGAATCCACTCTACAGCAACGGAAATTGCTCTGTAACCTTGAGCAAATTACTTAACGTCTGAATCTATTAGCTCCTCTGTAAAGTGGGGATAATAATCTTTGAAGGGCTGTTCTAAGGAATAGATGAGAACATATGTAAATAGCTTATCAGTATCACTTCTTCCCACTGTTCCTCCCCATTAAAGGCAAGATAGCTATGGAGAGGTAGGATTTGATTCTGTTCCCAAGAGGATAGAGTGGTTAAGGGAACACCATACCGTTAAAAGTAAGTACTGTATGACGAACACACACAGAAGAATAAAGCAGAAGAATGTCATCTTTAGTTTTGTCAGTTGCTTTAAAATTCATTAGGGATGCCTGCATTTTTTTTCCATATTTTTGGATTATATTAAAACTAATCATTCTGTGTATACTTGTGATAGTGGCTGCTTAAAAAAAACCCAAACCTGTTGCTGTTGAGTCAGTTGTGACTCATGGTGACCCATGTGTTACAGAGTAAAACTGCTTCCTGGGGTTTTCTTGGCTTTAATCTTTACAGAAGCAGATTGCCAGGCCTTTTTTTGTGTGTGTGTGATGTTACTGGGTAGGTTTGAACCACCAACCTTAAGGTTAGTAGATAAGTGCAAACTGTTTGTGCCACCCAGGGACCACAGTTGCTGCTTAGGATAAGGCAAAGAGCTGTTTTTTACGTGGGTTATAAAACATTAAAAAGAATTTGGAGACCCTCTTCTCTGAGAATGCATGTAATTTGCTACATCTAGGGCCTTCATGATGCTTAAGACTCTTTTAGCACAAGCTTTCTTTATCTAGTATTTCTTTTTCTATATGAAATAATTTGCTTTTTGAAGTAATTTAGACAATATTCCAAATTCTTCGGTAGTCAGTTTTTTTTTTTTTTTTTTTTTTTGGTTAAAAAAAACACTGTGAAGGTTTAATCTTTTTTATTTTCACGTAGTAATAAAAATTACCTACTTATGTCATAACCTGGTAATTCTATAACATATAATTGTAGCGTAACCAGAGAGCTTCCAGATTTCTGCTTCTCTCAATAATAAAATACTTTATTTTGAATTCTAGGTGAAATTCCACGAGGATTTAGGTTTCATTGTCAGGCTGCAAGTAAGTATAAAGGAATGGGATAGAATATGGAATTGAATGTGTAGCACACATGGTTAAGACTCGCTGCTTTAAACAGACACATAAAACATAAGCTGAGGAGAAGAATAACCTTAAGTTTTTGTTGAAGAATCTTCGTAGAAGTGGTAGATGTGCATATTGATCTTTTGAAAACTTTTGTTGCCTTAGTATAATATCCCTTTTTCTTTAAGGGAATTGTGGTTTTATTTTCTGTATATAACCTTTGGCCTCAAGATCAGCTGCTGTTAGTGGCCAGGTACTTAGATAAGCTTTTTAAGAGGTCTCAGTTTTTCTAGATTCAAGGCCATGTACAGGAATGTCCATTCAAAATTTAAAAAAAAATAAATAAAGCTGATGGGTCAAAAAGAAATAGAATGCTAGTGGTAAACAGATGAAACATAGCTCTGAATTAATTTTGTAGGTGAGAAAAAGTTTTTTTTGAAAGTGTTTTGTGACCAAAGGATATTACTGTGTATAAATAAACTCTTGAACTAAACTGTTTTCTAGAATCTAGGTTTTTAACAGTTTCCTGTTTGATTAGGATGAAAATTTTGATAATAGGTTTATTTTCTAATTTAATTCAGAATTGTCTTTTAGGGACCATTTAACAATTCCTTATCTAAATTAATATTTTTTCACTTAAAAATGTAGATAATTAGCCTGTAAAAGTGTTTGAAATTAGAATTAAGCTTTCCAGATGTGCAGTGACAGGCAACTGTATTATAATGGTGTTTTTAATAAATGAAGATAGTATTTTAGACTCATTTTTCATTGTGTTCTTTGCATTTTTTTAGGCTTTAATAAGAAATATGTGGTATTTTTTTTTGTTTTCCTGGAATCAGGGCTGTAGGCTATGGAATAGGGAGTTTAAGGAAGAGATTTTTAGTAGGTGCCCTACAAAAGCAAAGATGCCACTTTGATGACTGGGGAGCGTGTGACCCAAGCCATGGTTGGGCTATGGAAAGGGAAGACAGAATAAGAATTGATGCACTTGAACTGTCGTGTTGGCGAAGAATATTGAATATACCGTGGACTACCAGAAGAGCAAATAAATCAGTAGAAGTAATATAACCAGGATGATCCTTAGAAGCAAGGTTGGCAAGACTTCAGCTCACTTACTTGGACACATCATAAGGAAAGACCAATTATTAGAAAAGAATATCGTATTTATTAAAGTAGAAGGTTATAAAAAATGAGGGAAACCTTCAGTGAGACGGATTGACACAACAGTCAAAGCAGTGGACTCAAACATAGCAACAATCATAAAGATGGCAGAGGACCAGGCAACATTTTGTCCTGTTGACCATAATTTTGCTAGAGTTGGCACCTAATAACAACAACTTATGTAGCTTTGAATGAAAGAATTAGTAATAAATTCTATAGTAGCTTTGAAGTGTAAACGTAGCTACTTTCTCCCAAGTGTTACATCACCCAAGGTTATTGGCTAAATAGTAGTAGTAAAAAAAAAAAAAAAAAAACCTAGCTGGTGAATTAATTTCACTTAAGCTATTTTTGGTTGAATCTGTTGAATGCATTGCAATACCTACTATGTGCCAGCCACTCATTTGTTAAAATGTCACTGGACTTACCATTTCTTTGCTATTTTGATTCTGATAAAATTTTTGAAAATCACTTTATAAAGGCTTATTTGTACAACTTTTCCAAATTAACCAGGTTACCAGAAAGCATGGTTCTCAAAAAAAGTCTTTAAATTAAAGATTCTAGTACTGTTTTCTTACTTTATTATTAAAACTGAGTAGAAACTGAGCACAGTGTTTCTCGTTCAGGAAACTTGAAATGTTTGGTGCCCACCAGTTTAAGCATGTGTTAAATTGTCAACGTGATAACCCTGGGAAATGTGCCAATTAGATAAATGACTATACTATAGTGATAGCCATGTTGACTTAGAAACTAAACATGCCTGTGCTGGTGTAATCAAACTGATTAGAAGACCATGTTTCATACAGTGACACACTGAAGCAAATTTACAGGTGGTTATGATCAATTGAATAGTAAGTAATATGTATGTAGATCTGTCAGATGTTCTGTGCCATCTGGACTTATGAAGTATGGGTTAGTGAAGTCTAATGAATGCTTCGTGATCATTATGGTTTAGCACATTAGAATCATCAGGTTCTCAAGATTAGAAAGGCTTTTGATACAGAGTCAAGTGATTTTCACCCCGACTGCTCCCAAACTTTGTTCCTCTGAAGAGGTACTTCAGGTTCTTCGTGAGTGTGGCCCTTCTCACCTACCTCAATCAGAGAAGCTCTGCTTCTGTTTACTTTACTGGTTAATGTTTTTCTTGAGAGAAGTTCTGCTTTAAAACAAGCAAAACTTTATAAATGAGTGCTTTCAGCTTCCCATATAAGAGGCCCATCAGCTTTGTAAATGAAGCTTCATACACAAAAAGAATATAACATTCATGTAAGGTATAAAAACTTGAACCAAATCTGTTAATGTCAAGTTGGTTCTGACTCATAGCGACCGTATATGTCAGAGTAGAACTGCCCCATAAGACTAATCTTTAAGGAACCAGATTGCTACATCTTTCTCCCATGAAGTGGCTGTTGTGTCGAACCACCAACCTTTTGGTCAGCAACCGAGCGCTTAACCGCTTTGCCATCAGGGCTTCTTATGTAGGGTGTAAACAATATTAATGAATAACAGTGCATCCACCAGTCAGCTGAAGAAATAACAGATCGCCAGTGCCAGGGAAAATCACTGTATCTCTCCCTGGTTGCATCCCCTTTCATCTTTACAAGAGAACCACTATCCAGAAATCTGCGTTAATTTCTTTTTTGAGTAGTTTACTATGTATAGATAATATTTATATAAATGGTATGTTTAATTTTTTTGTTCAAACTTCACCGTTTATATAATGTATATATTTTTCTATACCTTTTTTTAATGCATCAGTGTTTTTTCCCCATTTTTCTGTTAGGTTGTTGTACTGGTTTGTAGAAAGTTTATTATGTATCTGCTTATTGATTCTTTTTAATTGTGTGCTGATAAACCTGTTTTCGGTTTGTGCTTTGTAGTGTCTTTCACTTTGTGTTTTTTAACAGAAGTTTTTTTAATTCACCATATGTATCAATCTTTTTTTTTAAGTCTTTTGGGTTTTTTTGTTGTTTGTTTTTAAGAGTTTTCTCCTACTCACAGGTTTTAAAGATAGTTTTCATTTTCTTCTAACAATTATGAAGTGTTATTTTTGTATCCCAGTCATTATTCCAGCTAGAATTGACTTGTGTATGGTGTGAGTAGAGATTTAGTTTCAGTTTTTCTCGTGAATAATCAATTGGCTTAGTCTCATTTATTGAACTATCGATTCATCTCCCGGTATGTAATGTCACCTGTATCACGTTTCCATTTGTACATTGGTCTTTTCTCTCTTTTCTGTTCTATTGATCTACTTGTGTTTTGATGTTAATACCATATTTTTAACCACAGTACAGTCATGCGCCCGTAACATGAGTTCGGGAAGTGTCTGACACAATATACGTTGCGGGTCCCAGAAGGTTATAATAGGGTTCAGAAATCCCAATCGAACAATCAGACTGGATGTAACGAGCTAGATGTAACTGGGCATAATGAATGCAATAGCTTGCTGCACACAGCACATGTCTCATGTGTCTTGTATACAAAGTGATTGCACTGCCAGGTGTAAATGGTACAGCAGATATATAGCCTATAACACGTATGTCTTGATAATCATGATAAATGGCCTATGTTACTGACTAATGTATGTACTGTACTGTACTTTCTATCATTATTTTAATGTGAACTTTCTCTACTTACAAATAGAAAGTTTACCATATGACAGTGTACGCTTTGACTTGTAGGCAGCAGCATCTAATCTTGTGTATTTGCACATCTCTTGAGTGTTGTAATGTTCTCTTGGTTTAATTTTCTTTCAAAAGTATTACTGTGAAGTGCATCATGGCTCCCAAACGCAGCAAAACCAGTGCTAGTGATAGCAGCAGCAAGAGGAAAAGGAAAAGCATCGATTTGGAAGTGAAACAAAAGGTTATTAACACAAAAGTGGGAAATCAGTGAATGCTATTGCTTGCAATTTAGGCATACTTGCACAATGTCCAAATCACATAAAGTCCTATTTTCACAGAATGTGTCATGGACATTAAGTGACTCATGACTGTAGTGTTGGTAGTACCTAAGTAGACAAGTCCCTTGATTTTTCTTTTTCTTTTGGGGTACCATGGCTATTCTAGACCCTTTGGTTTCCATGTTTCACAAAAGCGTTGTTGGGATTTATATTGGAACCACCTTTATAGATATTTTGAAGAAAGCCGGAATATTCATGACATTGAGTCTTTCTGTTAAAATGGAATTACTCTTATTTTTAGGTCTTTAATGTCTTTCAATAAAGTTTTATAATTTTCTCCATAGTGGTCTTAATATATTTTGTTAAATTCATAGTTCAGCTTATACTTTTTATTACTGTTAAAAAGAGTAATAGCTCTTTTGAGAATTATATTTTCTAATAGTTTGCTTTTGTATTTTAGGTTTTTATCCCACTAATTACTAAACTCTGATTCTGAGTTTTAAGTAAATTTTTATATAGTCATATCTGTGAAATGACTTATCTGTATGTCTTTATTGTAATATTTTAAAAATTTGTTTTATTATTGTTTATTATTGCTGGCTAGGACCTCTAGTTTCTAATGTTTCACCGATGAGTATACTGTTTCTTGTAGTTTTTTTGTTTTTTCTTTTTGGCTGGTGTGTGATCTTTATCAGGATAAAGAAGTTCCCTTCTATCCCCAGTTTGTCTGGAGAGATATCAGTTGTGAATTTTAATGAATGTTCTTCCTGCATCTCAGATGATTGTGTAGTTTTTTGTTCATGTGGTGATTTACTAATGATTAACCAACCTTGCATTCCAGGAACAAACCTAACATGGTCACAGTGTATCTCTTAAATTGCTAAATTTGGTTTGCTAATATTTTGTTTTAGAATTTGTG